CATTCAGATGGAAAGGGGCCCCAGGCCCAGCTGCTCTGTTTACTCTGCATTCTCTGCCCATTGTACACAAAATTGATCTGAGAGGGGTTTTGTTTTTCTTCTTTTTCCTCCAATCTCCTTATTAGTTCAGCCTCAGAAAGTCCCTTATCACTGCCGGATGTCAGGCCACACTCTGCCACCAGGCCTGGCCAGGTTCGGCTCTCCATTAATTGATTTTGCCCTCCCCACTTGGGGAGCACAAATTGGCTCTGCCCATTAGCAGAAACAATTCCCTGAAAGGAATTATAAATCAGGCCCTGCGTCCACCCATCCCTCACAGCGCTGTGTGCCCACGTGGGGAAGTGTCAGGCAGGGAGACGGAGTGCTTGAGGGCCAGGGCAGGTCCCCACAGTCATGCAGCTTCTCCCCTAAACCAGATGGAGGGAGGCCTCAGCCGACAGAAGGAGTGCCTGAAAAAGGTCCCAGCACAGAGGGCTCAACGAGCAACAAGTGTGTGCTGACTGAGTACAGGGACAGAGAAAGGGGCCTTGAAGGCCTCTTGATTTGATCCACACCCACCAGTTCTGCCATTCCATTAACCACCCTTTGGCTCTGTGGCCTTGGGGTTTTCCTAAGGACCCAGTAAACTGGCAGTGCTCCTGGGAAGGATTCTATCTAAATTCCCGTCAGGTCTCTGGATGTGCGAAAAGTGAACATGAAGACAGGACCCAGGGTGCAGGTGCGAGGAAAGGAGAACACCAGAAGGGAAGGGCAAGTGGCCGGGCAAGGGGAGACAACATTGCCAGCGCACAGGAGGTCCCCGGTAAGTAGGCCGCAAGTGAATGGACTGTCTTGCTCCTGATGAACCTTCCCAGGACCAGAGGCGGCAGGAGGAGGGGAGCGGGCGCTCCAGGGAGGACTGATCCAGCCCTCCTTCCAGCCCAACACATCAGAGACCTACCTCTGGCCCCCTGCACTCACCCTTTTCTCCCACACAGGTAGTCCACGCTCTTCCCCTTCATTTCCTTCCACCCGAGAACCACCAACATTCCCCGTGGACCATGTCCAGGACCGTCAAGGCCACTCAGGCTACAGGGGATGCTAAGACCTGCCTGAGATCCCCCAGACATCCACAGATGAGCTTTCTGAATGATACAGGAGAGAACGCGTCACACGTTGAGCTTCTCTAGGGCAATAAAATAGGATTTGATTATTACGTGGTCTTGCAGGTGTAACTACAACCCTAGCTTAACGTCAGGAATTAGCAAGTCTGTAGTGATGGGATGGTGGCCAACACCTTGTCATCCCATCTCTCCGGACCAGAAAGAAAAGTCTTGACACTTCCTTCCTCCTCTAAGACGAGTCCACGTCCCGGCATGGTGCTGTCTGGGAAAGCCCTGGGTGCAGAGGAGCGTTGTACAGGAGAGCTTGAGATCCCCAGGTGGCTTTGGGGAACCCAGAACATGTAGGATGGCAGAGAAGGCAGCTGCCAGGCTGGGCCAGGCCCCACCTAAACCCCGGGATGGATGAGGTGCTTCAGAGGACACAGAGGACACCGTGGCCTGCCCTCCACACCAGTTACGGTGCTGAGATGTCCCCATGTTTAGCCTCCACATCCTGCCCTCACCTCGGCTCCCTGGGATTTATTGTTCCCGTTCGGGCCTCAGAGCAGATTAAGACCCTATGACGCTCCCACTCTCCTGATTGGATATCCCCGTACTTGGGATGGTAAAATTCTCCCCCTGGCTTTTACTTCCTACCATCTCTCTCTTCCCCTCCCTCGCCCTAGACATACATGGCCACCGTCTCTGCCTCCCCATAACCCCTTCCAAGGGACACATGTCCGTGTGCGGCCCCCACGCCCCTGGTTGAGCCAGAGAGGCTAAAGGTAGTGCTGACACAAGGATGGCCAGACACCTGTGAAGTGGCCCACGTGAAAAGGCTCCCTCAGACCCTTGGACTCTCACCACAGAGGACCTGAGGCAAAGAGTAGCAAGAGGAAGAACAGGGGACACAGTAGCTGACACTGACGGGATGCCGGGGGCGGCCTGGAGCAGAATTCTGTCCCAGCAGAGGGAGGCTGGGACAAGCAGAGGGGCCACCCTGCGAGGAGAGGGGACGGAGTCCATGAACGGTCAGGAGTGAAGACACGGGCTGGGTTGTTCCAGAACCCTGGCGGCTCCTGGTTTCCGACCACAAATTGTTTCAATTAAGATAACTGGAGTGTGTTCCTATTCCTTCCAGCTCAAATAAGCCTTGAACTATGAAAACAACAACAACAATGGCAAAAACTTGTGTAGCCACTGGGGACTCACAGGACACCTAATAGTGACTTGAACAAAGAGGGGTTATGTTTCTAACATTTTTGAAACCTAGAGATGGGCGTGCCCAGGAACGGGCAGAGCGTCTTTGCAACACCCTTGGCCATTCCCTCAAGGACACGAGGTGGCTCGGCAGGGCCAGTCCTCTGTGTGAGCGGGGCAGTGGGGCCCGCTGCAGCTGAGGCCTCTGTGGGGACAGAGCGGCTTTACCCCACACCTCCACAGCAGGCTCCACACTCATCCAATTGGCCAGAACTGGGTCACATGGCTGCCCCGGCTGCTAGGGAGCCCTGAAAGTGTGTGCCAGGGGCACCATCCATCCTCCGACCCCCTCCCCATTTCTGTGCCCCTCTTCCCCCTCTTTAATGTGTTTTTTGCTTCTAATGATGTGGCCTGCCTATCACCTGGGCCTCCATGGACCATCCTCAGGCTACCAGAGCCGTTCTGCCTGCTGCAACTGGCGGGTGTGGGATTATGAAAGCCCAGCTCCCCTGCCTCCACCTGGGACTCGCAGGGTGTGCATTCCCCACTAGGGCTCTCCGGGAACCAGGCGGAGCTGGGACTACGGTCCCTTGTGTGGCCCCACCTGTCCTACATTCTTATCGACCCTCCCCTAGTCTGCTGTTCACACACAAATCCCGCTCTCAGGACTGCTCCCAGAGACCCCGATGAAGAGCCTGGGGAGCAGGTTTATCATGATGGGTTGGACGGATCACGCTCCACTGCCTGGAGCCGACATCTACACACACACGTGGGGCTCTGTTAGCTGGGAGGGAGGGAAAGGGTGTGGGCAGAGGCTCGTGTTGTCCACTGCCCCAGCTCATCAGACAAAACGTGAGCAGGGAACTTGATTCTCACACAGGGCCAGTACGAAGGTACAGCGGTGTGGCTGCTTGGGGAAAATAGTCTGGCACTTCTCAGAAAGTTCGAGTGACCACACGACCAGTACTCCACTCCTGGAGACATGAAAACATACATCCTCACAAACACTTGTCCACGAATATTCGTGGCAGCATCATTCATAAGAGCCGAGAAGTAGAAACAACTCAAATATCTATCAGCTGACGCATGGATAAATAAAATTCTCTTCTCTGTCCTACGGAAAAGGACACAGCTCTAAAGAAGGACGAAGTACTGAGATGCGTGCCATGGTACGGATGAACCTTGAAAACACCAAACCAAGGGGCCAGGCACAAGAAGCCGCATATGGTATCATAGCACGTCTATGAAATGTCCACAAGAAAGAAACCCAGATAGAAAGCAGATGGACGGCTGCCTGAGGCTGAGGGACAAGCTGGGTGGTTGGGGAGGATAGCTAAGAGGGGATAGGGGATTGGGGACATAGCATGATTCTGAACATACTAAAAGCCATTCAACTGTATACTTTAAAACTGTTAAGTGTCTGGCTTCGGCTCGAGTCATGATCCCAGGGTCCTGGAATCAAGTCTCACATCCGGCTCCTTGCTCAGTGGAGAGACTGCTTCTCCCTCTTCATCTGCCCTTCCCCCTCCTCATACTCGCTCTCTCTCTCTCAAATAAATAATGAAATCTTTTTAAAAAATAATAAATGTGTGAATGATACGGTATGTGAATTATATCTCAATAAAGCTATTGCAAATACACACACAAGCAAAGAAGAGGAAAACACCCTCAATTCCACTCCCCTGAGAGAACCCTGTGAACATCTCAGGTCAGGAGATACTTCGAGCTTCTTTTTTGTTCATGCATGTATCTTGTCGTTGTGGTATGCTCTGAAGGCAACCTGCTGAAGAACTTCAGGCACGGAAAACCATCAGCAAAAGCTATGAAGCAAGTGTGTCCAACTGCTTAGGAACATCAACCCTAAAACCGCTCCTGATCGAGGCTGTTATATGTCTATTTGCTTTGCCCTGATTTGTCACCAAGTTTACTTACCCTCGGGTTTCCCCAATAGGCAGGTCAATCCTCCCAGCCCCATTCTGTAGCCAAGGCAACTGAGCACAAGGCAGAGTCACACCCATCCCGATTTATTTTTTTTGTAAGGTTTTATTTATTTATTTAGTTAGTTAGTTATCTGAGAAAGAGAGATAGCATGAGTGGGAGGGGTAAAGGAGGAGGGAGAAATAGAATCTCAAGCAGATTCCACGCTGAAGAGGGAGCCCGATGTGGGGGCTCGATCCCAGGACCCTGAGAGCATGACCTGAGCTGAAACCAAGAGTCAGATGCTCAAATGACTGAGCAATCCAGGTGCCCTCCCCCCACCAACATCCTGATTTCTTCCCAGCTTGGGGCCTGAAGCATTATGGATGAAAGACTGGGGGCTGCGGAGGGCGCCCCTTCAGACCAGAGCAGAGCAAGGGGGAAGCATCTGATTTGGTCCAGAAGTACCCCTCCAACCTAGAGGCCAAGGACAAGGCAAGATGACCTCAGGAGGACCCTATAGGTCTCTTTGAGGGGTCCATGCCACTGACTTGTGCTCTCCATGGTGGAAAAAAAAAAAAAAGGCTGGTTGGGGGTGGCAGGCCTGTTTGCACTAGAGGCACTTAGCGCAGCCAAGCTGAGCCGCACTGTTCAAACAGACTCCCCGGCCTCCAGACACCTGTGCTGAGGAGGACGAGAAGAGCGAAGCAGGCAGGAGGCTGGGCTCGGGTCCCTGCGCACGTTCCACCTCTCCTCCCACAGGCAGTCCCCCAGGCCCCGGCAGCGTCCTGGCCACATATCATGCCCCGAGCTGGGCTCTGCAGCTGCTGGGGAGGCCGGGTTCTGCCCCTGCTGCTGGCCTATGTCTGCTACCTGCTGCTCGGTGCCACTGTCTTCCAGCTGCTGGAGAAGCAGGCGGAGGCTCAGTCCAGAGACCAGTTCCAGTTTGAGAAGCTGCGCTTCCTGGAGAACTACACCTGCCTGGACCAGCGGGCCCTGGAGCAGTTTGTACAGGTGAAGGGGAGAGGCTGGTGTGGGATGGCGGGCGGAGTGCGGTTCTCACGGAAGGTCCAGAGCTGCCCCCCAGGGGCCGGTGCCCTGTTCGGACACCGCGCATGCTGGCTGAGCCCTGGGCTGGGTTCTGGCCCCGGGATCCAGAACCAGATTGCCGTGCCGCATTGAGCCAGCCGCTTCCACCCGCTGGCCCCAAACGTCCTCCTCTACAAGGTAAGGAGAATAACCTCATGTGAGCTGCAGACATTTACAGCAAATCAAAAGCACCTTTTCAAGCTGACACTCACGGCGTAAACATGAACTGCGTGTCAGTATTATCAACATCGCAAATGTCCTTCTCCCACACTCTGCCTCCCCTCTCCCAACGGCACGGCTGCAAATCCTGCTGTCCTCTCCCTGCTCACACCCATGAGGGCTGACCACACGTGAGGGCTGTGGGGGCGGAAGACACAAAGATAGATGGGGAGCCAGGGCCGGGGAGACAGCCCCAGCAAGGTGTCCTTAGGGGGAGGTCTCTGGTGGCAGAGCTGTTCCCTCCGCCTGACCTGGGCCCCTTCTGCTTCCCTGCACAAACTCTGGGGCCCCAGCACCCTCTCATCAAGAAGCAAGGCAAAACCACAGTGTTGTGAACGCCTTGGAGACCAGGGGGCCCCGTGAATGACAATACCCACCAGGAAGGAACAAGCCGAGTGCGGAGTCATCACAAAGACAAATGACACTTAGTGGGCTTGCCTAAAACAGTGGGGAATCCGCGCATCCTGATGGGGTCAGAGCAGTCAGCTGCATCTTCTGGAGCTGAGCATTTTGTATGTGTTTCCTCATAACAACCTATTACCATCACTGTCTCCAGTGGGCAGGTGGAAACTGAGGCACAGAGGGGTGGAGTGTTGGCAAGACTGCAGGGTGAGTGATAGAGACAGAACTCACCCCAGGCCAGATGCTCTTCACCATACAAATTAGCATAAGAGCGGGGTTGGGGGCCGGTAAAATAGGGCCTAGAGCAGCGGTTCCTCAAGTGTGGACCAGATATGACTGCATCACATGGGAGAGTCCTTTGGGAATGCCAGCAATGGCACCCAGCCCCAGACCCTTGGAATCAGCAGCTCTGGGGGCAGCCCAGCAACCTGTCCTTCATCAGTCCTCCAGACCATGCCCATACCCTCAAGATGGAGGTGAGATGACATAGAAAATGATGGGTGGGCTGAGTGTTCAGAGAGAACTTTCTGGAGATGTGAGACCCCTGTCCACATCTTGCTCCCAGGAAATGAGGATTCTTTGCTCTCCTGCAGTACAGACCTGGGGTCATGGCAACCCTGTGGGGCTGAGAAGGGCTCTGGAGCCTCCCAAGACCTCGGGGAATAAGGCAGAAGCCCCGGAGTCCATGACACCTCCTCCTCCCTCAGCCTAGGGTTAGAGGCAAAACCCAGGAGCCAGAGGGTGCTAGAAGGATTGGAAGCTGGGATCTAACTAGCTCTGTAAACAGAGGCGGGAGACAACAGGCTTGATGGGAGCCCCAGCTGCTGATTAATGACACTCTGCCCTGGCCTCCTCAGGGGAGCCAGGATACCCCTGTCCTTAGCCTCCTGGGGAGGGACCGTCAGTTGCCAGGGATGCCCAGCTGACAGGAAGAACTCTGGTCTAGAATTCCAGAACACATATTACTGGTACAATCACAAGAGGAAAAAGCTGTTAGCAGCACCAGAAGCTGTATTAGAGACTCCTCCATAGGGAAAAGGCCTTGCCTGGGGTCACAGGACTCATGTCTGACTTTCCCAACTACATGTGGATTCTTAGAGAAAAATGGAAGGTTGCACTAGGGGCCCCACCCTCAGTACCCTCACCGAATCAAGGCCGCTTCCTTAGCAGGATGGAGATCTTCAGGTTGGCTGTGGGAGACAGCTGGGCCCAGGGTAAGTGCTGCTCCCAAGGGGGAGGGTCTCCAGGGAGCCAGCGTGTTCCAGAATGTTCCTTCCAGGCCTCTCGGGGTGTGTGGGAAAGGAAGGGAGACCAAAGTCCACATTCGAAGAGACCAGTTCTGCCAAAGTGAAGAAAAGCAGACAGCCTGTGTCATGACTCCCAGATTGGCCCAGCCTACCAGGGCCACCCCACCCTGGCAGGGAGCACGCTCATGCAGCCAATGGGGAAAAGGTTCTCACGGGAACTAGAGGCTGGAGTTGCCCTTCCCCCACTGCCTCCTCCTGCTTGGGGGGCTCTATCAAGTGGCAAGACAGTGCTGCTGCCTGGGACAATGCACGGTGACAGGATGGGACTGGGGGGCAGACTGGAGAGGGACCCGTAACCACCTCCAAGAGGCCTGGGCTTAGGGATGCAGGGGCTTTGGTTGAGCCCACAAGCGTTCAGTTTGTGTAAACACACTCAACACACATGCACACACATGCAACTTGGAGAACCCATGCACGTCGCAGGCATCCAACACACCACCCAGAAACACTGCTACACACCTGACCTTTGCCCAGGCCTCTGATGGAATTTCCCTTACCCGTAGTCCCAGGCTGGGAGTCACTAGGGGGCAGCAAAGAGCAAAGCCGCCAGCTCACCTGGAAGTTTGGAGAACACAAGATTCTAGGTCTCCACCATACACCCTGTTGGGAGGGCAGACCCATGGCTTTCCTGTGGTCCCCCAAACCCCACATTCCCCAGTAATCCCTTCTGGAAGCATCTGACCTGAAGTCGTCCCATTGTCCTCACAACACACCTACACCTCACCCTCTTGGCCAATGGCAGCGTCTCCCACGTGGCCCACCCCATAAGCACCCTCTGCCTCCTTAGGCCTCGTCTCCCCTTCCCCAGCCCATGTTTACAGCTCACGTGGCAGTCAGCCCTGGCCCATGGAACAAGCAGTGGATTTGGAATCCAACGGCCCTGGACAAGTCATTTATTTAGCTACTCAGGCGGAGCCCTGGTTTCCTTTCCTACAAAATGGAAGCAAGAGCCTCTAAGAATATCATTAAATGAGATAACAGGAAAGCACCCTGCCTGTCCATCAGCTGATGCCTCTGCTGCCTCCACCTCCGACCCCATCCCAACCTCCCCTCCCCCGCCCCAACAGGTCATCATGGAAGCCTGGGTGAAGGGTGTGAACCCCAAGGGCAACTCCACCAACCCCAGCAACTGGGACTTTGGCAGCAGCTTCTTCTTCGCAGGCACAGTTGTCACCACCATAGGTAAAGGGCTGGGGTGGGGAAGGGCTTCCCCAAAAACCCCTGTCTTGGTTTGGGTTCCCCAGAGCAGAGGCTGAGACCAGGACATGGTTTGTCTAAGAGATGATGCCAGGAAGCATGAGCAGAGAGGTGGGAAGGCCGGGCAAGAGAGGAGAAAATGCAGCAAAGTTCGCGTTGAGGAGGAGGGTCCCAGGGAGGGGCACTGGCCTTGCTCCTACCTGGACCCTCTCAGAGGCTAGGCAGAGCTCTGCCTCAGAATGGTGCCCGTGAGAGGAGAGGAAGCAGGGCTATTTACCTACCAGCTCCTGCCCTCGCTGGATGAGAGCTGATCCCAGATCAGCGCTCCAGGATTTGGAACTTGCCCATACACCCAGCATACTCTCAGGTAGAGAGAGATGCAGGGACTCGGGATTCAGAACCACCTGTGTATATAGAAACCGCCCCACCCCCCCAGCTGCAGGGGATGCCCCAGGTGTTCCGAGGGGATAGGCACCCAACAGCACCTGCTATACCCCCTCACCTAGAAAACCGACACCACCTCTCCCAAGGAAACTCCAGACCTCCCATATCCTTGGCCTCCCCATCCATTCAATTAAGTTCGATTCCACTCACCTTCCTTGACCTCAGGGGACAACTGTAGCAGAAGGAGTGGTGGGTGGGTAGGGAGGGTACAGACTTGAATCAGATCCAGGCTCAGCCCTCAAGGAGCTTCTAATCCAATGAAGAGGAATGAGATAAGCACACAAAAAACAATAGTACAAGGCAAAGTAGATAATTAGACAGGAATGACACAAAGCACTATAAGGAACACTCCTAGTAGGTAGGAAGAGGGTGGCAGTCAAGAGGGCTTCCCTAGAGACAGTGTCCTTGGAGATGTGCCTTTCAAACACAGCAGGATTTTTTTTTAAGATTTTATTTATTTATTTGACAGACAGATATCACAGGCAGGCAGAGAGAGAGGAAGGGAAGCAGGCTCCCTGCTGAGCAGAAAGTCCGATGCGGGGCTCCATCCCAGGACCCTGGGATTATGACCTGAGCCGAAGGCAGAGGCTTTAACCCACTGAGCCACCCAGGCGCCCCCACAAGCAGAATTCTTACGAAGAGAGATCATTCTAGTGGGGCGGGGGGTGGGTGGCGGCAGAGAAAATGTTCTTGGGAACAGAGGAGCTTCCCCTCCACCCCCAGAGGTAGTGGAACACCACCTCTGCTCCATTCTGTGGGGGAGGCCATTCTGAACTCTCCTCCATATTTGCACACTCCTCCTCCCCCTGCAGGATATGGTAACCTGGCACCCAGCACGGAGGCAGGCCAGGTCTTCTGCGTCTTCTACGCCCTGGTGGGCATCCCACTCAACGTGGTCTTCCTCAACCACCTGGGCGCAGGCCTGCATGGCCACCTGGCTACCCTGGAGAGGTGGGAGGAGCAGCCCAGGCGCTCCCAGGTAGGGCCCCTTCCCACTTCCAGCCCTGCCGCAATGGGATCAGTTGCAGGGTGAGAACGGAGATTGACACCAAGACGCAGTTTGACTGGCAAGGTCTTAAGGGTCGATGCCTGTGGAAGAAAGGGCCCTGCAGAGGGAGAAGGTGAATTGTGATTGGGCTGGAATGAAGACTTGGACAGCCCTTCCTGGAGTTCGGCATTGTATGTGTGGCCATCGGAGTTGGCCCCACAGGAGGGCTGAATTGGCCAGAGGTTTATTCCCTGGTGTCCATCAGGCACAGGGTGGCCTTCCTGGGAAGGGTGTGCCCTTAAGCCAGACAGTCCTCTGTAGCCAAGGGCCACCTCCAGAGAGCTGAGAACTGGAGGCCACTGGCTGAAGGCTGGTCAACAAGGTTTTCTTTGCAGGGGGATCTGGGTGGCACAGCCTTGCGGTCATCACAGAGCTCCAGCACCTCCCCTTGTGGTTGAAAATAAGCTCTAGGCCACCCAGCACACCCCCAGTGCCCACCAGCTTGGCCAGCTTGCAAAGCCAGGCGCATGAAGGAGAGCCAAGGTGCAGAGGAACCTGGGATAGTTCAGATCAGAGTCCCCGTGGGCCTATCCAAGTGTGATCTCCAGGCCCAGAGGAGTCTCCAGATTCCAGCCTGACCCACTAATGAAATCCCTCTGACCAAATATTTCCCCGGCCTGGGCAAGAGCGCACACACACAATACAACCCCTACCCCAAAGGTCTGCAGGCAAGGAAGGAACATAGCTATGGTCTAGCTCCACTCCCAGATTTGTGTCCCCCCCCCCCCACATACACACATACACAGTCCTGGGGCCTTCTAAGTAGACTGAGAGGCAGACTCTCTCTCTCCCAGCTGCTGCAGATCCTTGGCCTGGCTCTGTTCCTGACCCTGGGGACGCTGGTCATTCTCATCTTCCCGCCCATGGTCTTCAGCCATGTGGAGGGCTGGAGCTTTGGGGAAGGCTTCTACTTCGCCTTCATCACTCTCAGCACCATTGGCTTCGGGGACTATGTTGTCGGTGAGAACAAGGCAGTCACATAGCTCAGGGTGGGGGCCACGGGGATTCGGGGGATGGGGAGATGTCTGCAGGTGGTAACCCTTGAGCATCAGATCGTCCCTGGGTATCCGGGGGAGACCAGCGGTTTGTGAGGCTGCTGAGGATTCTAACAGCCTTAGACATCTGCGGCCTGGGACACATGGCCCTTTCCCCTGGGGACCCCCACTATAGATCCTTGTTATGGAGAGACCGGCGGGGACCCCTATGGAACCTGGGGCGATGGGGATTCTGCCCTCGGATCCCTGGCATGTATCATGTCTCGTTCCCTGCCAGGCACAGACCCCAGCAAGCATTACATCTCCGTGTACCGGAGCCTGGCCGCCCTCTGGATCCTCCTGGGCCTGGCATGGCTGGCGCTGATCCTCCCACTAGGCCCTCTGCTTCTGCACAGGTGCTCCCAGCTCTGGCTGCTCAGCAGGGGACTCAGCCTCAAGGACCGGGGAGCCCCCAAGATAGATGGGCTCCCCAGACCTCAGAAGATCCCCATCTCTGCGTGAGATCTCCAGGGGCCTCAGGAGCCCTTCCTACTTCCCCGACCCTTGTATGCCTTCCGGACTTCCTGTTCTGTGTCCTTTCCCACTCTCTTCCTAGCCAGAGCTGGTCTCAGGAGCTCTCCAGAGAGCAAAGGAGATGGGTTGCCCAAGCAAGTCACTGCAAGGAGTTGTAGGACAGGATGAAGGACAGATGTGTGTGGAGTGAGACGTGCATCGTTGTCCCAAAGCTCCTCCCCCAAACATGACCTGGCAAAGTCAAATCCAGATATGGGTCACTCTGGCCAAGTCCCCATCATGCCCTCCCTGCATCCCCCCTCCCCACCCAGGAGACTTAATCCAGTACAGCATACAAAGGGTGACTTTATTTTCACCTCACGTGATACATGCACAATGAGCATTTGCCTGTGCGTCCAGCAGAGTGCCAGGCTCTGGGGGCACAACAGTAAAAGATATTGCTCTCTGTGTGCGTTTCATCCACTGGAAGGACTAGACAAGCAGAGATGCCCCAACCCAGTGCCCCAAATGGGGTAGGGGGCTATGACAAGAGCCCAAAGGAATGGCTGGCAGGGACCATCAAGGAGAGAGGCGGGGCAGGGACTTTGGAGCACCTTCTGCAAATGCAGTATCTGCCCTCGGGAAGCCAGCAGCTGCTTCTCCAACCTGCCAGCAACCCTTGCCTAGAGGTCTGGAGCCAGCCATCCTTCAACAAGGAGGAGCTCTTGGATGTCCCACCTACCTTCCGGAGTGTGGCCTCCCCTGACTCCTCAGGGCACCCCTTGGCCTCATCACCCCCTCTGAGTGCCTGTCATAAGAGCCTTTCCAAACACAGCCTGGGAAAACAGGGAGCCAGCAGATCCCAAGAGATCCCCAGGAAACGAGCTCCGTGGAGGACTGGCCTCCTTCGGGAATGTGCTCTGCAGCCCTGACCTTTCTCCTGCCAGACTGTGACATCTCTGGCCAGAAGGAGAGGAGAGATTGAGACCAGTCCATCTAAAGCCCAACTTCATCAAGGACTCCAACCTCTGCCCCACATCTGCCATCAAGGAAGGTCCGTAAGTGTCCAGGGGCTCTGGACAGGACTGAGGCAAGACTGTGACACAGAGAAGGCTCCAGGTGGGACACACAGGGAAGGATCTACAGCAGCAAGAGAGACCCAGGTTATATGGCAGGACTTCCTAATATGGAGAAGAGGCTTGGGAAACAGAAGACCCCGCAGGGGACTCCTTACATACCCTGCACCCTTCCTCCAGGAAGGGAGTAAGGGGGCCTCTTCAGAATTAGGGAACGGACAAGCGTACTGGTGAGGGATCCTCTTGCCTCCCAAGTTCATAGACAAATGGGGATCAACTGGGGTCCCTCACCTTTGTGTACACAACAGAAAGAAGAGTGTTACAAGAGATCCAGGGAGACTCCACAGGCGGCAAGTCCTTGGTGATAGTCCAGGGTCCAAGAACTTGGGCTGGGGCCCTAAGGCAATAAACTTGGCTTCTACTTTCTCTTCCTCCAACTTGCAGTCTCCGGGAGTCTCTCCCGCAGCTCCCTACAGTAGGACAGGCTGGGGCCTCCGGGCCCCCTCATTCTCAGCGCCAGTGGTCACCCCAAGCCCTCCCCTTCTCCCTGAGCTAGACCTGGGTGGGGAGCACTCCACGCACACTCAAGGCGGGGCCAGATGCCCCACATCTCCGGCCTCATTTTGTCCCTGGGATTGGATCCCTGGCAGGGGCGGGGCCGGGCTGTCCCATTCCCCAGCAAGCCTTCTCTGCTGAGAAAACTGGCCACAGGCAGGCGTCGACTGAGCAGAGGACCAGCCGAGAAGCCCCTAGCCTTTTCTTTCCACCTCAGTCCCGGCCCATGGCTCCAGGCCCAGGGCTCCCTGCCTCTCTGGATCTGTGCAGACCCCGCGCCCCGGTGGGGGCTGGCGAGAGGGCGCCGGAGTGCGCGGTACCGGGCACGGTTGTCCTGCTGCTCGCCTACCTGGCTTACCTGGCGCTGGGCGCCGGCGTGTTCTGGGTGTTGGAGAGCCCCGCGGCGCGCGATTCCAGCGCGAGGTTCCAGCGCGACAAGTGGGCGCTACTGCAGAACTTCACATGCCTAGACGGCCCGGCGCTGGACTCGCTGATCCGGGTCAGGGGCGGGCGGGGCGGGCGAGCGGGGGCACGGCGGGGGCGAGGGGACAAGCCCTGGCTGCGGCCCGGGCCCGGCCGGGAGCACTGAGGGCGCAGAGAGGCGGACGGGGTCGAGGCGGGCAGCCGGGGGCGGGCGGGGCCAGGAGGGTCGGGCTGGAGCGCGGCGAAACGGACGGCTGCGGCGGCGGGAAGCGGGCGCGGCGCACAGTCAGTCCCCCTCTGGGGCCGAGAGGGCACGACCTGTCCCGCGGAGAGGGTTGCCAGGCCCAACACCGGAATTTGAGCGTGGGGACCGCAGGGGACGCGCCAACTCGGGGCCGGGGCCGGGGCTGGCGGGGCCTGCCCCGTGCGTCCGCAGCGGGGCCGGGTGCTCGAAGGGCGGGGGAGGTGGCGGGGCTAGGGTCCCAGCAGGCCCGCACCGCAGGGGTCGCACCGCAGGCCAAGGATGGAAGAGCAGGCCTGAGCCCTTGCGCAGAGTGCAAACATGCGAACTGGGGGCGAGGAGGGCAGGGGGCGACGGGCACTGTCTGAGGATGCGCTGAGTGGGAGTCGGGGTGGGAAAGGTTCAGGGCGCGCTTGTCCCAGCGGGTGAGTGGGATGGGGGCGGGAGCCGGAAGTGCGCAGACCCGCTCTGAAATAAGCAGAGACAGACACGGGGGCGCTCTCTGACTGATCCCGCTCTATTCCGCGTCTTCGGACTCAGGGACTGGACGTGTCTGGGCCACGCACTGCTGAGGGGCTGGGGGACCCAGCGGGGCGTGGGCGAGGGGGAAGGCAGAGGAGGGTTCCTGAGAAAGAGGGGCATCGCAGATGGATGGAGGTCCCCTTCCATTCCGGGCAGGCCACACCCGACTGGGACCCGCCTAGAATTGGGTGCTTTAACGTCCCGGGACCTCCCTTGGTCCGGGGACACAAACGTGTCCCTAGCCCCAAAAGCCCGCCCGTTTTCCCGCAGTCTCAGCGCCGCCTCCATCCAGGCGGGCAGGGTCTGAGTCCCAGAGCTGCCAATCCAAAGCCAGTTCCCAGAAGGTCGCAGGGAAACGTTTCTAGGTGGGAAGTTACCAGGCGTTGGAGCAGTGGTAGAGTCCTGAGGCTGACTGGGCAGCGGAAGGACTGTCTCTGCTAAGGACCTGTTGTTGCACCTCTATCCCCCAACCTCTACACTTTCACAAATACAGCGGCACTGCCTGGTCCCCTATGCTGGGCAGCACCCCCTTAGCAGAGGTGGAGGGCCTCCCTTACCTGCCGCATGGACCCAGGGAAGCTGACGGTGATGGCAATGATAGCAGGGAGTGCTTCTGTGGAGCACTGGCTGTGTGCCAAGCATTGTTTCAGGCGATTAATTCCTATTTACTCCTTCCATCCTCACCTACCTAACCAGTAGGTACCATTTCATCATCCCATTTTCAAGATGAAGAAACTGAGGCTCAAAGAGATTAAATACAACTATATGGCCACATAGCCACGGAGCTGGGCCTGTTAACCACCAAGATGGGGCTCAGTGCAGATCTGTGCGAGGGGTTCCCCAAAGCTCCCACAGGGCCTTCATCTCCTTACCTTCCCCTTCAGCCCCTCTGCTCCCCTCTGCTACTTCACCCCTGCCTCAAGCATCCCGTGACTTCCATCATCCCCAAGATAAGGATCGGGCATCTCCAGCCCAGACCTCCCCCTGAGTACTGACAGATACATGCAGCTTCCCCAGATTCCCCCAACGTCAAGAGCAAGCAGCCTGCCTCCTCCCAGCCCTGCGCCTCCATCTATTCCAAATCTCTGTCTTTGGCCCCACATCCACACACTCTCACAGTGGTCCTAAAGGCTTTCCTCACTACCCACACCAAATGGGGCCAGCGTCCCAGGCTTTTGAGTATCTCTTCTCTGTTCCTCCTGGGCCACCCGGGGCCAGGGTGCAGGCAACTTGCTCCTGCAAGTGTCTCTCCGCTTCTGGCCTGCTCACACCTTTGCTGCCAGCTGCCAGGGAACACACAAACCAGATCTTGCTTCCTCTTTGCTGGGTGAACTTGGGAGAGGCCTACTGCCCCATCCCTGGCGTGGCATAGCCAAGCATGTCCTGGTTCCCAATGGCCTTTCCGTCTCCCTGTACTAGATCCCAGCTACAGTCCTGCCTCACAGGCTCTGCCCCTGCTGTCCCATCTCCCTGAATGTCCTTCCATCAGGAACAGTCCCTTTTGACCCTCGAAGAAGGCCCAACTAAAACATCACCCATTCCATGAAGTCTTCTGCCCCTACCCCCATCAGAATGAACACCTTTCCTCTCTGCATTCCTATATTCCTATTATTATATTTGTAACCATGACGATGATGGCAACACTTACCATACACCGAATACCTCATTTGACCCCCACACAACTCTGTGAAGGAGGTGATATTAGCATTCCCATTTTACAGATAAGTAAACTGAGGCCCGGAGAAGTTGGGTATCTTGTCCAGGATCATGCAGCTTTACTGCCTTAATGCCCAAAGCATTAATGGGAATCTGCTCTGTATTAGTTAAGTCTGTCCCTGTTCCCCTGAGGACTGAGGGCCTGGTTCTTACATCTCCGGGTCCCCTAAGACACCAGGTGTCCTGCCTGGCACTGCTTGTTGCAAGGATGGGCAAGCAGGGGAGGGGGGAACAAATGGCGTTCTTCAAGCTGATGAGACTCCCTGAGCTGACCTGGGCTCTAAGGGCAAAGAAGGGAAGAAGCTGTCCCCATGGCCCCTGCCCCTGGGGAGGCCCTGGGTGGAGGGAAACAGCCTCCTTGCCCTGGAAGGGCTGAGATCGAAGAGTGGTTGTGAGGATTGTTTGTGAGTGTGGGTGTGGGTGTGTGTGCACACGCACGCACATGTATTCATGCACACACGTGTATATGTTTGGGGGCAGGGGCCCAGTTGCCCCCCAGAGCCTAGTGGTCACTGTAGCCTCTCCCCCAGGGCATCATCCAAGCATACCAAAATGGGGACATTGTCCTTGACAACACCACCAGCATGGGGCGCTGGGAGTTCATGGGCTCCTTCTTCTTTTCCGTGTCCACCATCACCACCATTGGTAAGAGTGGGTGGGGCTGGGGAGGCTGGCCTCCCCTTAGAGGATGGGGGACAGGGGACCAGTGCCTTTTGGAGGGGTCCCTAGGGCCCCATGACTCCAAGTGTAGCTGGCCCTTGCAGTGTGGCCACTGCCTATGGGCAGAATCCCGGGGTCCCCTTGGATCTGCAGAATCCGATTCTTTCTGCATTTCACCATGGTCTCCACGAGGCTTGTGCACAACACTCAAGTTTGAGAGGCGCTGCCCTAGAGGGTTCTGCCTCACACAACCTCTCAGGAAGATGAGGGTCACTGCTGTGCAGCAGTAAAGTTGCCTCTTGGCTTTGTAAGTGTCCCAAGCCAAGCCCACCCAACACTGAGCCCAGGGGTGGAGGCGGGGGGGGCAAGGGAAAATTGGGAAGGAAGGAGGGGTAGAAATCCATAAAGAGCCTTTCCACACCCTGTTCTCGGCATTGGGAAAATGTGGCCATTCCTGGGGGCCTCACCCCAGCTCCTCACCAGCACCCCCAACCATCTCCAAGCCCTCTTTCTCCCTCTCTCTCTCCCGTTGCCCTAGCCCTGCCTTCAGGAGGGCAAAGGTAGAACTTGTCCTGGGAAGGTGCCTGGGGGATGTTAGATAGGGAAGGAGAAAAGCAGCCTAGGTCCCTCCAGCTCTGAAACCCAGGAAATAACTCAAGTCCAAGAGTTCCATGCCTCTGTCCTGGGGGCGGGGGGGGGGTCACCTTGCCATGCATGACCCTGGACATACCACCAAGTGGCAGGCTAACACCACTGCTGGCCAGGGCCACCTCCACCAGCTCGGGGCCAGCCAGGATCCTCTCCCCAGCAACCAGTGTCCCAACTTCTGTCCTCCCCAGACCAGACTGGAGCCAGGCAGGAGAACCCAGACGACTCTCCATCTAGTTTAAACCAGCAAATACTACTTGGAAGCAGGTCTCAGGGCTCTTCTCCACCTTGAGGCAAACATGCTTGGTAGGGGACCTCTCAGACTCCACTGACCCTGTGACTCTGGAAGGACTAGCCAAGATGGCATTTATTCCTCTTTACAACCCCTGGGCCTAATACAAGGCCCTGCATACAATGGGCACTCAACAAACACTGACACGTTAATGAATTCCAAAAATAGCCATTCCACCTGCATTCCTTGAGTCCCAGGGCTGGAGGGGACTCCTTGAGTCCCAGGGGATTTGGGGGCTCTGTGGGAAGCCCTCCCAATTGTATGGGGGTCTTTATTCTCTAAACCCTGCACCTCCTACATCCTTTGCCCGAGGCCTGGGACTTTGTCCCACTGAATTCCGAATTCCAAATTCCGAGTTTGGCAGCCTGTCCCTTCCTCTTGACTCAGCCTGAGCCAGCTCTCTCTGAAGGGAAGGAGGGCAGGGGAAGGGGGAGCCCACCCCACACTGTACATACAGTCTACTTGTTGTGGGGGCTCTTTTACAACTGAGATTTCATTTTGTCCATATGATCTCACCTCCAAGGACAGGGCTTATTATTTTCATGTCACAGAGGAGGAAACTGAAGAACGCAGAATTTGCTCAATTTCTCCAAGGTCACATAACAGTGAACAGCAGAGGTGGAATTTGAAACCCAGCTGGAGGACAATATTGCTCTTTTCAGTACTGTAAACCTTTAGAAGGTTTACAAGATAGAGTGGGAATTCTAAACAACAGGAAGAAAGAGAAGACTATTCTGGGATGGACAGTAGGGAAGCTCATGACCCTGTGATTCTGACCACGCACGCACGAGCACACGGAGGGGATACAGAGAGAGGAGGAGGAGGGCAGAGACAGGAAACAGGTACCTATGGAACCCTCCACAGGAAAAGGAAGGAATAATCCGAGAGATACAGCAGAGGACTGCCTCCTTGGGGTCCCTCGGGCCCTGAGTCCAGTGCCCAGTAAGGGCTGTACTTTCCAAGACCCAAAATGAAATAGGGTCTGACAGGGCCTTGAACACTTCTAGACCAGCCAGACAGGCCTGAGCCCTCACACTGTCCATCGCCTATGAACTGCATCCCTGGCTTGCTCATCCATTCACTCATCCAGCCATGCAGTAGCTGTGGGAGCCCGACATTTCTGGGGAAACAATGATGAGAGGAAACTGGCAAGTTCCCGCCCTTGGGGGATGGACATTCTAGTGCAAGAGGACACCCAAGAAACAAACAGATACATAGACAATATTCAAGGGGTGAGAGGTGCTTCAAGAAAAATAATGCCAGGTAAGGGGGTCTGATAGTGATAGGGGCTATTGTATATGGAGTGGCTATTAAAGGCCTTGCTGGGACAGTAAACTTGAAGCAGAGACATGAACAAAATACGGGAGAAAGCCATGTGAATATCTGGGGAAGCAAATGCAAGAGCCCTGAGGTAGGAGTGTGGCTGGTGGGCTTGGACAATAGGAAGGAGGACGAGGTGACTGGAAGGTGTTGGAAATGAAGGCTAACTTTGGACAAGGTGCAGGGCAGCCACACAAGGCCTTCTCAGGATGTCCTGGGGCTGGACTAGCAATGGGAAAGAGGTGACAGGTGGGAGGCCTGCTGAAGTGAGATGTGGCTTAGCTGGAGTGGTGGTCACCAAGCATGGAACAGGCAAGTGCAGCTTCAGTGGTGTCCGCTGATTGTGCTGACCTAGGGCTGGCTGAGAATGATGGGAAGGAGAAAATTCACTTAATGTCCATCTGAGAAAGGGGGGAGCTTCATGGGAGTGGGGAGGGTCCTCCTTAGATTTAGAATCTAAGTGCCACCATTCCATGGGTTAGAAAGACCCCCAAGGGACAGAGGGTACTTGGGGAGGACCCACAGTTAGAGGAGGGGGGTCAGGAAGGAATCAGGCAGGGAGGTTTACTGAGACACTTACCTCTCCCTGGATGCCCAGAAGAGAGTTCCCTCCTTTAGGAGAGGGATCCTAGAAAGGCCAAGAGATGGAGGATGCTTGGGGCTCTAGAGGTGGCTGGTGATGTCCTCAGACCAGTGGAATTGGGTCACTATCCATTCATTCACAAAGCTAACATCCGTTTAGCACCATCTGTATGCTAGATGCTTAAGGGGACCCCTTCTTATCTGACACACCTCCATTGCCTCCTTTTGTCCCATAGCACACTGCGAGGCACATGTCCACCTCCCCACCTTACAGACAAGGACACAGAAGCTCAGAAAGGTCAAGCTGCTTGCCCAGGTTCCCACAGCCTTCAAGGGCTAGAGCTGGGTTTCAAACCCAGGAAGCACCTCTGATTCCAAAGCCCGTGTCCTAGACGAGTGCATGCTTTGGCTACTCTTGAGACTATGACATCTGAGACCCCTCAGTAAGGTGAGGGTGGGGTAAACCACCAATGCAAGTGAGCATGAGGCATGTGAGAGTGCTGACCCAGTCGGGGGGTGGGGGGAGGCAGAGCAGGGTGCAAGACAGCTGTTCATCTATTTACTCATTCATTCCTGTGTCATTCATTCATTCATTGATTCATTCTGAATCATTCAATACACATTCCGTGTGCACCTATGGGGTGTCAGATCCTGGGCCAGTTGCTGAGAATATAAAGCTGATTATGACTCAGCCCATGCTTTTGAGGGGCTTATGAACTTTGAGGATGGCAGGCTTGGAAACAAGTCATTCTCATACAGCGGGTTACCCTCCAAGCTGCCAGAGTGCTGGGGAGCCACTTCAAGGGGGCCGCCACCTACAGACAGGCAAGGAGGGATGCACGCTCTTGGTAGAGAGAGAGTCATGCTCAGAACACAGAGGCACAAAGGAGTCTGGGGGTTCGGCAGGGCAGGAGAATGGCCGGAACTGGGAAAGTGGGGGACCAGATGAGCTTGGAGATAGGCTGGATGAGACTTTGGGCTTTCCTCAGCAGACTCGAGAAATGATGACAGCTCATAACCTGGGAAACTATAGAATGAGGCTCGCATTTCAAACAAGATAGAACAGTGGTGCTGACCAGAAGTGGGGAACAGAGCTGGAGAGGAATGACAGGGAAGGAATGCCCAGACTGACGGACTCCCTTGGGGAACACCTCCCCATCCCTTATCTTCATGACAAAGAAGATAGCCAACCTCCACCTCCCCCAGGGCACCTGGTGGTCCATCCACCACCCCTCACCCTTGAGGGGCTCGGAGGGAAGCCCAGGTGTTAGTGAGGGCCCTCTGGAAATCAGGTGTCAAGACAGAATCCGATGTACAAGAGATATATCGGGGGAAGGGAAGGAGGTCTTTGAAGGATGAAGAAGGAGCCAGAGGGAAAGATGGTGGGAGCCCCAAGCAAGACTGCCTGCTGGGGGTGCTACGTGAGCCAAGGACACCCAGCCTGGGGGCCGCGCCCAGAGGCAGGAGCCTGGAGGCAGCAGGGCCCAGGCTGGAATGGTGTCTGTCCCTGAAGGGCAGCATCTGGAAGCTTCACAACATTCTGTGCCCCTGTCCACATCCTTCTGTCCATCCACAGAGCGGGAAATGAAGGGAGAGAAGGGAGTTTCGCACACACTGCTGAGCCTCCTGGAGCTTCCGTTTTCCAGTCTATAAAAAATGGGGCGTCATCTCCACTTGGAAGGCTGGTTGTGATGGGGCACTGAGGGAAGGCAGGCACAGTCGTGGCCAGTAAATACGAGCTGCTGAGTCTGGAGGGGGTGGGAGTGAGGGCCCCTGGGGATGGAAGGGGCCCCTGAGGTGCCTCCGTCTTGCCTCACTCAGGCTATGGCAACCTGAGCCCCCGAACGATGGCCGCCCGCCTTTTCTGCATCTTCTTTGCTCTCCTGGGGATTCCGCTCAACCTCGTGGTGCTCAACCGACTGGGGCATCTCATGCAGCGGGGAGTACAGCGCTGTGCCCGCAGGCTGGGGGGCGCCTGGCAGGTGAAGGAGCTGTGGGAGTAAGGGGAAGGGTGGGTTACTTCCAGGATGAGCTAGGTCCTGGGAATCGGGGGCCCAGGGGAGATGGGGTTACTTATGGGAAATAGGGTTCCTGGTGGGGGGGATTGGAGGCCACTGCCCAGAAGGGTACGAGCCAGCCATGATCTTGCCCGGGAACCTGGAGAACATAGGGTAGGTGGAGGGCCCCCAAAGGCAGCGCCTTCCTCCTGGCAGGGGCCGTTCATCCTGCTTCCAGTTCAGGACCACCCCCCACCCCCACCCCAGGCTGTCTGTTCCCCCAGCACTGGCTAGAGGCCACACGGGGGCCGGGGCTCTCTATGCATCCACAGGACCCAACCAAAGCTCCGTGGCTGGTGGGCGTCGGCGCCCTCCTCTCTGGCCTCCCGCTGTTCCTGCTGCTGCCCCCCCTGCTCTTCTGCCATGTGGAGGGCTGGAGCTACGTGGAGAGCTTCTACTTCGCCTTCATCACCCTCAGCACCGTTGGCTTCGGCGACTACGTGATTGGTGAGAGAGCCCCGCAGGCGGTGGGAGGGCGGCCTGGACACTCAGCTGCCCAGCGTCCCCTCCCAGCTCCACCGGCTAGCCCTGGCTGTGCGCCAGGCCCCATGGGGGATCACGGGCTCAAAGTCCAGAGGACTGGGTCCTTGGCGAGTTCGACTTGCTCTGTTGTGCGATGAGTCAAGGTCCAGCTAAAAAGGGACACCTGGAGTTTGACCCCAGGGCTTGGGGCTGGCTGTAAGTCACACACCCGGCCTTCTTGATAGCACTGGAAACGTCAGAGGCTCAGCTATTGTTATGAGCGCCCACCAAGTTAGGGGAGTCCCTGACCTCCCTCCCTGACCCTTCCTAGTTCCAGGGTCTGTCCTCCCCACTTCACCCTGCCCCATGAAATGCCAAGATTCCCACTCTCCCAGGGAGAGGGGCCATATGTTCCACACCACAGGCTGCAGAGACTACTAGGCAGGAAGAGTCTAGAAGACTTGGGAAATGCCAGCACCACCCTCCCACCCCCACCGGCCTCCACTGGAATACAATTAGCAGACAAACTCTGAATGCCCAGCAAAGAAGGGCTGTGTGGTCCAGAAGGCCCAAGGTGAGGTTCAATCAATGCGCAAGGTGAGTGGCCCAGAGGTCGCGGCCTTGCATAATAAAGCTGAGGCAGGTGCCCAGCAGGTAGCAGTGGAGGGACATTCTGTGGGGTGGCAGGGTGGGCTGGGCCCTCCACGCAGCCTCATCGGGCCCCCTCTGCTGCCCCCATCCTGCCCCCCACCCCTCCGCAAGGTTCACCACAGGAGCAGAGACCACTGGTACCACCAGCACTCTGGTCGCAAGGGACTCTGCTTCCTCCCTCAGATCCCTGGCCCTCAGTTAGGGAGGAGGCCCTGTTCTCCTTCCCATCTTTAGAGACCAAACCCAGCCTAGAATATTGAAATGAGGTCTTACAAAAGTAACAAGCAGCTAGCTCATCAAGGGACCTAGAGTGACAGTTGTTACACATATTTTCCTGAGAAGGAAGCAGAAGCTCAGAGAGGCCAAGCCATTTGCCTGAGACTGTGCAGCTAGCTCAAATTCTGATCCGTGGACTCCCAAGCTCATACTCTTTCCAGACCACCTCACACATCCCCTCTCTGAGCCTTAGTGTTCCTATGTATAAAATGGGGGACCTGGCTAGGTGATGGCCTCCTCACGTGTGTGTAGGCCCCCCTTCCCTGAACCTCTCCTTCCTTAGGTAGAAGGGTCCTGCGTCAGGGGCCAGCCACATGCTGTCCCTTCCTGATATCCTCCATCCTGGGAGGAAGCCTGTTGCTCTGGAAGGAAATCTTTGAGAAGATTTCCTCCATCTGGGTACAGTACCATTCCTATCCTCAAAGTGAAGAGATGTGTCTGAAGAGAGCTGAGCCCACTGGCTCCAAGGACCACATCTACACCCGAACAGCTCAGAGAGCAATTCTTGGATCTGTCCTCTCTTCTCTGTTCCCACTGCCATCTCCTTAGTCCAGGCAGGGCTATTATATATGGCTGGTTACGCAGGTTGGGCAATGCACAACCCTAAGGGGTTGCCATTCACACAGAGCACAATGGAATGGCACCCATGCATTTGTGCAGCCTATATCTTTGTCCCCCCGCCTTGGCCCTTGAGGCCTTTAAAATTGACAGGTGCTATTATGTCACCTAGCCAGCTCCTCTAAAAACCTTCAGTGTTTTCCCATAGTCTTAGGATAGAGTCCAAACTCCATGCCTTGGCCTGTGAGCACCCCCTGTGTGGCTAAGCCCTGCCTCTCTCTCTTCTCTGAGCCCTCCCTCTTCTACCCTGCACCGGGGCCACCAGGGGCTCAGCTGGAACAGCCTCAGCCCGGGCCTGTGAGATGTGACAGGTCCTGCCTCCCACACTACCAGAGCTCAGAGCATGAAACTCGGGATTTGCCCCAGTGGTAATCCTAAATCCAGGAGGCCTGCTGCTCTGAGGGTGTCCAGTGCAAGGAGAGGGGAGGGAAAGTGGGAGCAGGACTCTTTGCTGCAATCTTTTCATGCCTACTGATCAGCAGGTCCCCCAAAGTTTGGTCCAGGGTGGGGATAGCTGAAAGCAGTCTCCCCTGGAATCTTGCCTAGAGAAGCCTCTATGGGGCTGAAGGGGCATCTCTGTGAGGACATCCTCAGGTGCCACAGTCCCCTGAGGCAGGGTGGGCAGGAGGAGGGGCAGCTCTCTCTAGACACGGACACCCTGGAAATGGGCCTCTAGCAGCATCAAGGGAGGGCCAGTGACATCCACAAGCCCTCTCTGCTAGAGCAAGGAGGGCTGATCAGGTCACTGCTGCCTGTGAGCCACCCTCTGGGGAGCGGCAGGGCCAGGGAGGCTGGAGTACGGGGCAAAGACTTCCCAGAGCACCCTTCTACCCGACATCCTGCCTGAGGAGGTCTGGTTCCCATCCACAAGAGGAACTCTTCAAGCCCCCGGGGCAGACCACTTCCACTGAGGGGCACCAGGCAGAGCTGTCCCCTCCACCACATCTCCAGAAATTTGCCACTTGCTCTGATTCCCTCTGCAGCATGACAGTGCCTTGTGGCAACTGACCACATGGAGAAGCGTTGAGTGCCTCATCTGCAAGGAGAAACTGAGGCCCAGGGAGGGGAAAGGTCCTAGAGCAGGCAAGCCAAGAGGACAGACTCCCAAGTCAGGACACCTGTGTTGCAGAATCTTACACAGCTGAGTGGGGACAAACCCCATTCCCACCTCTGCCCTATGTCTCTCAGTCTTCTCTGTCCTCCACGGACAAGGTCAAACCCTTTTCTTGGATGGGAATGCTGATGTCCATGATCTAGACTTGGGGTGCCCATTGTCCCTGTGTCAGCAACCACGGGGGTACTGTCTTCACAGCCACCCCTTTTTCCCCCCGAAGGCTGTGGCCCGAGCAGCACCCCAGTCCCAGCCACCTGCTCCTCCCCAGCCTCATACCCCTACATCCCCCAATTGCATTTGCAATTCATTGGAGCGCCTTGCCAGCTGCCAGATCTCCCGCCACTTATTATTTCGGCTAAAACAATGAAATAAAAGGGGAGAAGGACACCTCCTCCCCTTGGTTGCCAGGAGCAAGCCGAACTGGTAGGTGGCAGGGGCGGAGAGCTGGCTCACTGCTGATCTCATTTGGGACCCTCAGCGGAATCTTGGCCCCATAACCCAATCAGCTTAATCCAATCCTGGCTCCTGCCAGGCGGTGAGGTGGGGTCCAGGGCTGCGGGCTCATTCCCGAGCTGGGGCCCAGGAGAGGGACCCAGGCTTGAATGACAGGAACGAAAGGCTGTCTTGGGGGCAGCCAGACAGATGGGGGTGGACAGAGGGGTGGGTGGAACAGGACATCAAGACAGAAAAAGATATTGAAGAAATAAGACAGATCTTGCCCTTTGAACAAACCCGATCTGATAAGGGAAGCAAGATAGACCCCTGGCTAAGAGGGAAAAATTAAGTTATGGAGTAGGCTAAGCCTCCCAATGACCTCCATCTGTCCCTTCCCTCCACCATTACTGATCCAGTTCTGACTGTGTTGGGGGCACCCGTGTCAGGGTCTAATGGTGAGTAAAACAATCACCCAACTACAGGTCACCTGTTATATGCCAGGCACATTGCTGAAAACCTTAGATATTTGGACCCAGTCCTGGAAGGTGGACCTCTTGTTGTCTCTATTTTATACATGAGGAAGCCAAGGCCCAGAGAGAATAAGCAGTTTACTCAGCAGAGCACAGGGGCTGGGAGAGAGTGTAACAAAGAAGGGCTCAGCCTCACCTCTGGGAGTGAGGGCTAGCTGAGATCTATCTGCAAGATGAGGGGGAGTCAACTAGGCCAAGAGGAATCAGAAATGAAGAGCACTGTGAGCAGGGAGGGCAGCATATGCAAAGGCCCTGGGGCAGGACTGATTGGTAGATGGAGAAAGAGGGGAAGTTCCAGAGTGACAAGCACAGCACTCAGCAGGAAGAGGTGTGCAAATCAAGGTCAGAGGAGTCGATAAGGCCATTGGGAGAAGAGTTTTTGATTTCATCCCAAAAGCCAGTGGCTTGGAGAATAATCATCTTCCCCATTTCCCAGGTGAGGAACATTCAGACAGATGAAGGTCATACAGCTAGGAAGAACTGAGGCAGGATACAAACTCCACTGGTTCCATCTGTTCTTCCTAAGGCTCCTGGCAAGTTGCCTCTGTTTAGATATGAGGAAACCAAACACAGAGACAGGCAAACAACAGAGAGGGCATTCGAATCTCTTGGAAGACTTATTAAAACACAGATTGCCGGGCCTGCCCCCAGAGTTTGCATTTGGTAGGTCTAGTGGGGCTTGACCATTTGCATTTCTAGCAAACTCTCAGGTGATGCTGATGCTTCTGGTCCAGTGAATCCACTTTGAGAACCACTGGGATAGACCACAGAGTCTATCAGAAAGCCAAAGAGGAAACTGAGCTTCCAAACCCAAGGTGTCAACCCAGGGAGGCTTCTTAGAGGCCTACAGAGGTGGCCACAAGGCCAGCAATCTCGAACTTGAACCTTGAACTTCCCATATTCTGCTTATATGCATCAAGCCATGTGTGTCTGTTTCTGTTTGATAATGACCTTCCAAGGCCTCCATCCTCTGACCTTGCCTCTCCCCCCAGGGATGGACCCCTCCCGGAGGTACCCACTGTGGTACAAGAATACAGTGTCCCTATGGATCCTCTTTGGGATGGCATGGCTGGCCTTGATCATCAAACTCACCCTTTCCCTGCTGGAGACGCCAGGGAGATCTTATTCCTGTTACCACCACAGCTCCAAAGAGAACTTCCAGCCCCCAAGCTGGAGGCAGAGCCTGGATGGGGAGGCAGAACCCCGTTTACCACAGCCAGGTTGCCATCTGGAGGAGCCTATAGGAATCACACAGCATCCAGAACCCTCTACTCAGGTCTCATGCTGTGGAAAGGACAGCTAGTTCTACTCCAGTATGTGTTCATCTTCTTCCTCAATACCAAGACCCCTGGTTTTAAGCTTAGCACATGACCACCCAGACTAAAGACTAAGTTTTCTTTTTTTTAATCTCCCTTTGAGGCTATTTGCAGCTATATGATTAAATTCTGCCCAATAGAATCCACAGAGAAGTATCCTGTGTGACTTAATGAATGTGACTTTTTGCAGCAGGGGGGTATGCTCCTCTTCACTACTTCCTTTTTCTAGTTGGCTGCAATGCTGATACCATGGCTGGAGCTCTGGCAACCACATTGCACCATGAGGTTGAGGCCGTGTTTGAGATTGGTGATACAGTAAGGTAGAAAGAACCTGGGTTCTTTCTATGGTGGATTGCAGAGCTACCTACCACAGTAAGATAGAAAGAGCCCGGGTTCTTTCTATGGATGGTTGCAGAGCTACCATAACAAATCTAGACTGAATAACTCCAGACATCATTTATATGAGAGAGAAATAAATGTCAGTCTTACTGACTATTGTATTGTTTGGACTTTTCTGTCACTCATAGCCACAGCTAATTCTAATTGACATACACACCCAGAGATAAAGGTAGGCATCTGAGCCGGGAACATACACAGCGAGATGTTTGTTTCCCAGATGAGTTTTTTTCCACCCAGGACTCCGTGGGGGAAGGGATGGACTGAAGGCAGAAGTACAAGTCCTCCTCCACCTCCAGAGAACTTCTAGGTAAACTCACTAAATTTAGATTTGCTGATCATTGTCGGGGCTGAAATAACCAGCAGGCATCTGGTCCCAGTTTGGCTGCTGAATCCTTGCCCTAGGACTTTTTCACACCAGGAAGGGGCGGGGTGGGTGGGGAGCCAGGGGCAGGCCAGTGGGCTCCTCCTGCCTCACCCCACCCCACTGCATTTGAGACTCCAATCACAGTTTGTGAAGCCAGGTAGGCTTTGAGGACATAATTCAGTATGTAGATAGTCTCACCCTGAGCATTTCTGTCTGTCATGTAGGATTGCTACTAAGGTGGCACACTCTCTATCACACCGAGGTCCCGGAGCCCAGCCAGGAGCCCCTGGCAGTACTAGCCACACCTGAGGGTCACCCTGGGAAGCTGGGTTCTTGCCCTTGTGGATACCTGTGACTTTGGCTCCCTTCCACTGGGCTACATGTGGTGGCACAGGAACCCTGGGGGCTCCATGTGGGCCTCTCCCTGTGGACAAACACCTCGGCCTCAGAGTCCTCCTGAAAGTGGGTCAGGGGCAGCCTTTTGGCCAAGAAAGTAGGAGGGGCTGTTACACCATCCAGCTTACGCCATCTGGCCAGGCCCTAAGTGGACCAAGGCCAGACCCAGAAGCAAACACCAGTGAGTAAACAACAGGGTCCATGCCCTCTCCCTAAGGCCCACAGGCTGGGCAGAGGAAAATGGAGGTGAGGAAGAGATTGCTGGCGGTTTGGAACTGGCATCCTTGTACTTAACACACTCGGGAGAGAAGACCCATTAACTCAAAATTGGGAGAGACAGGCCAGGGCTGGGTTAGTTTCCACGGTGCCAATTCTGCTTCACCTTGAGCCCCTCCCTCCCAGGCCTGGTCTCTTAGACAGAGTCCCTCTCACGCGCATCAAGCCCTTTACCCCACGGACACCCACACCCATGCTCCCAAGGCCTGCGCTTGGCGGGTTAAGAACAAGCCCGTGGTACGCATGGTGAGGCAGAGGAAGGCTTCTGATTGGCCAGTTGCCTGCAGAGGAAGGCTTCTGATTGGCCAGTTGCCTGCGGATGTCCACTCCACAGCCAATGAGAGGAGTCGCTGGAACCTGAGGCACAAATCTAGAAAGCGAGAGGAGTAGTGGGGTGGTCACATTGATGAAGAGCGATTCGTGTGAAGAGGGAGGAGAAGCCGCAAGAAGCCATGTTGGGAACCCCTGGGAGAGGCCTGGATCTGGGAAAGGCGCCAGAACGGAGTCAGACCTCAGCACAGAAACCATAGACTAGAACGGGCAGCGAGGTCTTGCACTCGCAGACGAGAAGGAGGGGAGGGAGGCGTGTGGCAGCCAGAGAAAGCTGTCCTGCGCCTACGGCCAAGCAACCAAGTCCCTCGTTCGCTCGCACCACCTGGGCCCTGAAGCAGAGGGGGAGCGGGCCCCTTGGGGCAGCAGAGCCCGGCTGTTCCAGGGTGCGGAGCTGGGAGCCAGCCTACCTGGCTCACCGTCTCGTTGACCTCTGCAAATCCCTTCACATCTTGCATCGGCTTCTTCTTCTTCCGCAAAGGGAGATAAGAGCCGTGCTGACGGCCCGGGCTTCGATGAGTGTGTCAAGTAGCAGCAGGGTGTGCGTCATCCCCGAGGAGGCGGCGGCGTGGTGCGCTTCTCAGCTTCTGGCATCCCACAGCGGGCCCCGGGGACAAGGCAGGAGGCAGGGCTGGGCGGGCTAGTGGCCACGCGGCAGGCAGCGCCTCTGCTGACCCCTCTCGGGGCTTAGGGCTGGGCCAGGCGGTGACGCAGGACTCAGCCCCGCCCCAGTGGGCTTCCAGGCTGACACCATCACGCTGCTGGCCAGCATGAGGGGGTCTGGACACGCATGAGTCATAGAGGATCCTCCTGGCAGAGGCTGGGAAGTGGGTGCCCAGTGTGTAAACGCAGGGTCGGGGGACCGGCCCCCGCTGCTCCCACAAGGCAGAAGGGCAGGTGGGCCCCTAGCACCAGTGGCTGCCCTATCTCTGCTCACGACATGCTGTCCAGTTCTGTGGCCGCAGCGCGGCCAGGGCAAGATCGGACTCACTATCACATAGTGGTTTCCTTTAAACCAGCGATATTCGTCATCACCACGTCATCATCACGGACATCATCATGATTTCCTAACATATATGGGGTGCTTTTTATGGGCCAGGCACTGTTTTTTGTAAGCACTTTGCTCCTACTGAGTTATTTACTTCTCCCATCAACTCCCAGAAAGGGACTTCTCTGTAATGCAGTTTTAAGAGGGGGAAATTGACATTTTCACTGGATGCAAAGCAAAGGCAGCCGCCAATCGTGTGGGTGAGCAGGAGAGTAAGGGCCTGGCCCCAGGCGGGGAGACCCTCCCTTTAAGCCCTGTGGGGTGTTGATCAGCCACTTCCCTTTCTGTGCCTTAGTTTACTCATCTGTACAAGATGAGGCTGGCTTCAGGGAGTCTGCATCTTACTGGCTGTAGTCCCTCAGTTTTTGACTAGATTGTTCTAGTTGACTGTGTCTCAGGTCAGTTCCCAGGCCCACCCATCTCCTGGGCTGTCTTAAGCATTTAGGTCCAAGGAAGTCTCACTCTGTGTTTCTGTCTCTCTTTCTCTATCTCTCTCTCCCTCCCTCCTTCACATGCATACACACACACACACACACTCACAGGCACACAAAGTTCCCCAGGTCCTTCCCTCAGGGCCCCTCCAACACTGGCAGCCTGGCTGTGAGAGGGGTCTCCATTCATTTTAGGAGCTGGGCCAGAAAAGGCTAGACTCAGTAGGAACCAGAGGACCCCCACAGTCTGGACAACAGCTATGCTGAGACTCTCCCCATCCCCAATTCCCTCTACCCTTACCTCACTGGCTCCCCACCCCTGGGCTCCAGGCCCAGAGAGCACTGACCCGAAGTTGACCCTCTGACAGCCCCCCTCTGCTCTCCCTAAACCACCCTTACTGCTGGTCTCTGGGCCCCCCACTCTACTGTCCCTCCCACCCCCACACCCTAGATGCTCAGTGCTGGGCCCTGGCCCCACTGACCCTCCCTCCTTCTCCCCCATATACTGTGCTGTACCCTGTTATGTCCTACCCCTCTCACCCTTTGCTAACCAAAACTCATCTCCAGTTAAAATTGTTCCTTGGGGTTAAGGAGACAGCAATCTCCCTTCCACAAGGCCACCTCAGCCCATCCCTAGGGTCTTTGCCCAAGATTCCTAGCCCACCCTGACTCCAGTCACAACACCCCTCCCAATCCCCATGGCAACCTTGGCAAGACCTGGAGGCAAGAAGGGCAACCAGAATTAGACACCTCCCGCCCCAGTAATGGCTTTTGTGGGGAGCTAGGGATATTCCCCCTGCCACACCAGCATATTATCCAGGAGTGTGAAAGCAAAACCATTCAGACTCACTATCCATCAGCCACTGAGCCCCCTGCCCCTGCCGGGTTCTAGGGTTGGGATCCTATCCAGCCTTTACCCACATTCCAACCTTTCCACATCTTTTCAGACCAACTTTTATCTCACTTACTCTTCCCTGGATTCGGGCAGACATGAATCTATATCCCGACTCTGTCAATTACTTGCTTGCTGTGCAACATTTGAGAAGTCACATAACATCTCTGAGCCTAAAATGGAAATGCTGATACCCTCCTCAGGAACGTTTGGATGAATGTAGGGGAATGAGTAATGAATGAGGAAGCACCCGAGTTGGATCTGCTACATCGTAGGGCTCAGAAATATTTGTTCCCCTCCCTTTCTCCTCTTGGCCTGAAGCTCTCCCCCGCCCCACCCTCTTTCATCAGGCAGCTCATGGAGCCCTTCTGCACCCTTGCCTTTGAGAAGACCTTCCAGATCCTCCCACCCTTTGGCCTCCAGTGGACTTGGGAGGGGCAGGAAGTGAGGTGGGGATGGAGGAAGTACATTAGCCAAAGCTCTGTGTGGCGGGAGACAGCATGTAAAGTGAGAGGGTTCCTGTGTGGATTGGAGGGGCGGCTTCCACTCCGCCCACTGGCCGACCTCTTGGGTCAGGTCACTTCCCTGAGGGGTGGGTGTGAGCACTCCTGGATAATCTGTTTTGGCTCCTTCTCCCCATGCACTCTCAGACTTTCTCTGAACCCCTGAACCTCTCTGGCAGGGGACAGGGTCTGAGCCCCATGGGCTGAGTCACCCAGGCTCCTTTGGTCTTTGGCTTCTGCCTTGCTGAGGCCCAAGAGCACAAGTGATGGGAGGGGAAGAGGGGAGAGGAGTCAGAGTGCCTGACCCCTCTCCCAGCAGGCCCTGGCTTTGGCAGTGCAGTGCTCCTT